TTTGTCCGCAAATGCGATTGGCAAATGATAACAGAGATTATAAACTTCATTTTTGACATAAGACGCTGTACATTTACACGAAGATTCTCAGGTAAAAAGGTCAGGTATTTCAAAATTTCAAAAAAGCATCAATCTGATGACACAGACACAAATGACTTAATCTGATGTCACAGACACAAATGTCTTAATCTGATGTCACAGACACAAATGTCTTAATCTGATGTCACAGATAAAAATGTCTTAATCTGATGTCACAGATACAAATGTCTTAATCTTACTTAGTCTTAAATCAAAAGCAACAATGCCTTAATCTGATGTCACAGACACAAATGTCTTAATCTGATGTCACAGATACAATGTCTTAATCTGATGTCACAGATACAAATGTCTTAATCTGATGTCAGATACAATGTCTTAATCTGATGTCACAGACACAAATGTCTTAATCTGATGTCAGACACAAATGTCTTAATCTGATGTCACAGATACAATGTCTTAATCTGATATCACAGATACAAATGTCTTAATCTGATGTCACAGACACAAATATCTTAATCTGATGTCAGACACAAATGTCTTAATCTGATGTCACAGACACAAATGTCTTAATCTGATGTCGGACACAAATGTCTTAATCTGATGTCATTGACAGAAATGTTTTAATAGTATGTATTTAGATTCAATTGTTTTTATCTGACAAAGCAGACAGTTAATATCATAAATACTGTAACAGTTAAAATGATTGTGGTGTGGAAATGCTTTCCTTTTTCGTGTAAATGAGCCTGAAAATATCCACTGTGATATAGAATACCCCCATATCGATTTCAGAACCATCGCCAATAACGTGATCGCATCAAAGAGTCACAATGCAAATATTTCCACCTGTGAGAACTTTGACTTTTATAGTAGTAGTCGTTGACAGATAAAGAACAATCTGATATGAAATGTGATTTGTTCACAAATTTAGCGTATTTTCACCAGAGGTCATGGTATCAACTTTATCTATTTTCAATATTCAATATAACAACTTAATTCTCAGGGCACACATACATGTATCCGATATAGAAATGAAATTGAAGTCCTGATCTTTATAATAAGAATTGATGAGACCTTCAAGCTTGGTTCCATTTTAATGTGGGTGTTTTAATCAAGATGTTTCCCTTTTAAGGGTATCGTATTTACTGTAACATAACATCTGCCTTGTTAATCAACGATCTATAATTGATCGGAGGATTCATCTTGCAAAAAGAGACCCAAGGGACCTGAAGATGCTTGACTGAGCTTTGTGGACTTATTATTGACTCGACCTTGTTACTTAGAAAGATCGCCTACGATATTGTAGTATATGTATGTAATACCTAGTGTTTGTGAGATATCTAGTAATTCCAGTATTATTGTATATACCTTGTTACTATGAGAGATCGCCTACAATATTGTAGCATATGTATGAAATACCTAGTGTTGGTGAGATATCTAGTAATTCCAGTATTATTGTATAGACCTTGTTACTATGAGAGATCGCCTACGATATTGTAGTATATGTATGAAATAACTAGTGTTTGTGAGATATCTAGTAATTCCAGTATTATTGTATATACCTTGTTACTATGAGAGATCGCCTACAATATTGTAGTATATGTATGAAATACCTAGTGTTGGTGAGATATCTAGTAATTCCAGTATTATTGTATATACCTTGTTACTATGAGAGATCGCCTACAATATTGTAGTATATGTATGAAATACCTAGTGTTGGTGAGATATCTAGTAATTCCAGTATTATTGTATAGACCTTGTTACTATGAGAGAACGCCTACGATATTGTAGTATATATATGTAATACCTAGTGTTCGTGAGATATCTAGTAATTCCAGTATTATTGTATATACCTTGTTACTATGAGAGATCGCCTACAATATTGTAGCATATGTATGAAATACCTAGTGTTGGTGAGATATCTAGTAATTCCAGTATTATTGTATATACCTTGTTACTATGAGAGATCGCCTACAATATTGTAGTATATGTATGAAATACCTAGTGTCGGTGAGATATCTAGTAATTCCAGTATTATTGTATATACCTTGTTACTATGAGAGATCGCCTACAATATTGTAGTATATGTATGAAATACCTAGTGTTCGTGAGATATCTAGTAATTCCAGTATTATGGTATATACCTTGTTACTATGAGAGATCGCCTACAATATTGTAGTATATGTATGAAATACCTAGTGTTGGTGAGATATCTAGTAATTCCAGTATTATTGTATAGACCTTGTTACTATGAGAGAGCGCCGACGATATTGTAGTATATATATGTAATACCTAGTGTTCGTGAGATATCTAGTAATTCCAGTATTATTGTATATACCTTGTTACTATGAGAGATCGCCTACGATATTGTAGTATATATATGTAATACCTTTAAGGCTTATGTTTGTAAGATATCTAGTAATTCCGGTTTTATTGTAATGACCTTGTTAGATATCACAGCCGAACACTCCCGTTTACCTGAGGTAGCTCAGCGGGTTAGAGTGATAATGTAACAACCTGAAGTCCGGGGTTGGAAACCTAGTCTAGCCCCACTGAATTACACTCAAAACACTATCATTGATTATATTTTGATTATTTCATCTCGTTTATTTCTCATAAATTTCCCGTAAGTTATATTTGGTTTTCTTTTGGCAGCTTGAACTCCTTAAAAAAACAAGAGGCCCATGGGCCTTAACGGTCACCTGAGTCTATAGTATTTATTTTTGTTGTTGAAATATGTACCAATTTGAGTAAAAAATAGTATAATGTTAACTTAACTTTGTCAGGACCATGAGCTGATCATTCCTAGACCAATTTTAAGTGAGATCGGCCTATTAGAACTTAGTAGCAAAATAGCGGCCATGGCAGCCAAATTGTATTTCTGATTGACCCGAAAAATAACAACACTTTGTCAGGACCATGAGGCGATCATTCCTACCAACTTTCAGTTCAATCGGTCCAGCAGAACTTGACTTTAAGTTTGAAATAGGTTTTCAAAATGGCGGCCGTGGCGGCCATATTGGATTTCTGATCGACCCGAAAAATAACAACACTTTGTCAGGACCATGAGGCGATCATTCCTACCAACTTTCAGTTCAATCGGTCCAGCAGAACTTGACTTTAAGTTTGAAATAGGTTTTCAAAATGGCGGCCGTGGCGGCCATATTGGATTTCTGATCGACCCGAAAAATAACAACACTTTGTCAGGACCATGAGGCGATCATTCCTATCAACTTTCAGTTCAATCGGCCCAGCAGAACTTGACTTTAAGTTTGAAATGTAAAATGTTAACGGACGACGGACGACGGACGACGACGGACGAAAACGGATAGCAATAGGTCACTTGAGCTAAAGCTCAGGTGACCTAAAAAAAAAAAGTCTTTATTTCGTGACCCCCACATCAAAAGCATACATACTCAACAAAATAACAAGACAAATATGAGGTTGTGTGGGCAGACATAAAACATCAAGCACCACCCGTGTCTGCAAACACTTTATATATTTGTTACTGTACCTTTCTTACAAAAACAATTTTAAACTTGTTCCAGATAATCAAAGAAACCCTACTATGGTGTAATTCATTTTTTCAATATTTTGAAAGATGAAATACTGGTTTATTATGCTTCTGTATACAAAACATTCTGAATACCATTAAATGATAAGGTTTCAGACCGGTACCGTCTGTACTTGATCTTTGAAATTCACAGGAATCTATATATAAGGTTATTGCTGGCTCTGCTATTGGCTCCACATGATGGAAATGTCTCACTTAATTTCATTCTTAGAACCATTAAATCAGGACTCAAGAAGTGGGATTTAAATAGAATGTGGATTTTGAAGAATCTTCGAGATTGTTTTATCAATCTTGGACAGTCTATGTATCTATCGAAACATTTGACTTTGTACATTGCAATGTTTTGGTCTATCCTTTTACAGACTTAAGGAGTAAAGACAAATGGTTATTAAGTAACTATATTTGATCATACACATTAGTATGACTTTAAACATTTCTACTGACAAGAAGCCCAATGGGCCTGAATTCCGCACCTTCTTTTTGTTTCACATCTGTGACCATTGAAGAATTTCAAGGTGTGATTTATTTAAATAGGTTAAATATCATTACACATTATTGATCTTTGTTGGCAGATTTAAACTTAATGTCAATCGATCACACTGCCATTTCAGCAGAAATATCTTTGAAGTTTTATCCTTTTTACCCTTTCGGGCACCAAAATTATTTTGATCAGCCCCTTTTCCTTCACAAATATGAATCCCAGCTATCACCTTGGTATACTTCCTAATCCCTTTTAGACCCCGACCCTCTGGTACCTGGGGAGCTAAAACCTCCACCATAACAACCCCGAGTCCACTTTGCCAAAGGATAATCAATACCAAATGTGGTTAAAATCCCTTCAACAACACTGATGGAGTAGAATTTAAGGTTTTACCTTTATTACCCCGTCTGACCACGCCTCTCTGCCCTAAGGGGATGAACACACCCTTAGTTCATACAACTCTTAATTCTCTTGGCCCATGCATGTGTTATGCCACATTAGACGAAAAATTATGTGTACCTGCTCTTAAGGAATATTTGTTTAAAGATAAACCCCTATTTCCCTTTCTGAGCTAAAAATCTGACAATAGACAGATTACAACCAGACCTTGGGGCTAGGTGACTAATGAGTCCCTTAATCCTTTCTTCACGCCCTGATAGCCATGTTTTAACATCCCTTGAGATACTGGTTGTATAGATTGTAATCCTACAGAATGTTGTTTACATTTCTGACCCTGTATAAACCAAGCAAGAGTTCACCCTCAATAAATCAATTATTACTATTGTATTATCATTGTATGTATTTGGATTGTCACTAAATTATCTCCCCTTAGGAAGATTATAGCATCAACACCCTAAACTAATAACTAAAGAATTCTATTTTAAGTATGAAGTAAAATCGAAAACCTACCTGATGATGATGATGCTTTGTCATCTGCTGCGATGGAAGCATTTGGAAGTAGGGCCTGGAAGTATACAAATAATATTCTACCATTAAAACTATGTCAAACTGACATTAATATTACTCTGTATTGGGATGAAAACATTTAATTCAATACCTTTACATTTTCAAAACACTTTTTTATCATAAATTAATCACTCTTTATAAGTTATTGAAAGCAACTTGCAATTTAAATAGGGAAACAGTTATTTGTACATCCATCCCAATTAAAGTTAAAGTTAATTAGTAACATATAATACAATTAATATTTCACAACATACAGAGCAGTATAACTTCATAATTCAGAGATACAAATGTATAACATTTTAATCTCCAGCCAAAAAACAGAGATCTAGGACGTCAAATTATCTTACAACAAAAGTTTAATCTAACTTGTACTTGTAAGATATAACTAGAAATGCCTATAGGATACTGATGTCCACTGCTGAAAGGGTTCCTTACACACAATACTTAGACACTAAGATCATAATGAGTATATAAATATATAAACTTTGTATATTTTATAACAATTGTGAATCAAGTTATTTCAACTTATATTAATCAATCTACATTTGGGAACATTTGAAGTGGTCTCTTAATATAGCTGGTCTCTGTATACAGGTTAAGCTCATAATAGATTGAACCATTATAATACGATACATTAAAAGTGATCTCTTAACACAGGTGGTCTCTTAATACTGGTGATCACTTAATACAGGTGATCACTTAACACTGTGGTCTCTTAACACAGGTGGTCTCTTAATACCGGTGATAACTTAATACAGGTGATCACTTAACACTTGTGGTCTCTTAACACAGGTGGTCTCTTAATACAGGTGATCACTTAATACAGGTGATCACTTACCACTGTGGTCTCTTAACACAGGTGGTTTCTTAATACCGGTGATAACTTAATACTGGTGATCACTTAATACAGGTGATCACTTAACACTGTGGTCTCTTAACACAGATGGTCTCTTAACACAGGTGGTCTCTTAATACCGGTGTTAACTTAATACAGGTGATCACTTAACACTTGTGGTCTCTTAACACAGGTGGTCTCTTAATACCAGTGATAACTTAATACAGGTGATCACTTAGCACTTGTGGTCTCTTAACACAGGTGGTCTCTTAATACAGGTGATCACTTAATACAGGAGATCACTTACCACTGTGGTCTCTTACCACAGGTGGTCTCTTAATACTGGTGATCACTTAATACAGGTGATCACTTAACACAGTGGTCTCTTAACACAGGTGGTTTCTTAATACTGGTGATCACTTAATACAGGTGATCACTTAACACTGTGGTCTCTTAACACAGCTGGTCTCTTAATACTGGTGATCACTTAATACAGGTGATCACTTAACACAGGTGGACTCTTTAACACAGGTGGTATCTTAATACAGGTGGTTGCATGTGCAGATTTGACTGTGATCTTTTAACCTGTCTTACTGAGTAGGTTCGGGACGAGTTAGACCCCAGTAGTTTGGCCTCTACAGCTTTCTGTATGTAGGTAAGGGATATGTATACCTGTGTGAAGTAGGTTCGGGACGAGTTAGACCCCAGCAGTAAGGCCTCTACAGCTTTCTGTATGTAGGTAAGGGATATGTATACCTGTGTGAAGTAGGTTCGGGACGAGTTAGACCCCAGTAGTAAGGCCTCTACAGCTTTCTGTATGTAGGTACGGGATATGTATACCTGTGTGAAGTAGGTTCGGGACGAGTTAGACCCCAGTAGTAAGGCCTCTACAGCTTTCTGTATGTAGGTACGGGATATGTATCCCTGTGTGAAGTCGGTTCGGGACGAGTTAGACCCCAGTAGTTTGGCCCCCACAGCTTTCTGTATGTAGGTAAGGGATATGCATACCTGTGTGAAGTAGGTTCGGGACGAGTTAGAGCCCAGTAGTTTGGCCTCTACAGCTTTCTGTATGTAGGTAAGGGATATGTATACCTGTGTGAAGTAGGTTCGGGACGAGTTAGAACCCCAGTAGTTTGGCCTCTACAGCTTTCTATATGTAGGTAAGGGATATGTATACCTGTGTGAAGTAGGTTTGGGACGAGTTAGACCCCAGTAGTTTGGCCTCTACAGCTTTCTGTATGTAGGTAAGGGATATGTATACCTGTGTGAAGTAGGTTCGGGACGAGTTAGACCCCAGTAGTTTGGCCTCTACAGCCTTCTGTATGTAGGTAAGGGATATGTATACCTGTGTGAAGTAGGTTCGGGACGAGTTAGAACCCCAGTAGTTTGGACTCTACAGCTTTCTATATGTAGGTAAGGGATATGTTTCCCTGTGTGAAGTAGGTTTGGGACGAGTTAGACCCCAGTAGTTTGGCCTCCACAGCTTTTTGTATGTAGGTAAGGGATATGTATACCTGTGTGAAGTAGGTTCGGGACGAGTCAGACCCCAGTAGTTTGGCCTCTACAGCTTTCTATATGTAGGTAAGGGATATGTATACCTGTGTGAAGTAGGTTCGGGACGAGTTAGACCCCAGTAGTTTGGCCTCCACAGCTTTCTGTATACTTTCTATGATGGCATCCTCGTGTAAGAAGTGAACCTCATGTTTGGTTGGATGAACATTCACATCCACATTCTGAGGGGCAATCTCCAAACTGTTGATAAAGTGAATATAACAATCAATCAATACAACAATGAAATAAAAATGTTGCATATGGTATACTAACAAAACAAGAAAAACCCCACTCCCCACTGTCCCCAGAGGAGCCACATACCTTGTTTAGTGGTATACACAATGAGTTCCATCCTAGATTTATACTTTGGTACCATTACCTTTATTTACTGAAGGAAAAGGATTGAGAAGATTTACGTCTATTTCCTTCATTTAAGCTGTCGGCAACCTGGGAGACCAGCCTATCTATATAGTTATAAAATGGTGAGTCCCCTTGGCCAAGAACGCTCAAAATAAGTCTGGTAAACATCCCTCCATTTATACAGACTGAGAGTGATTTTAAATATTCACTTCTACTACTGGGCTCTGGGCACCCCATTCTCCATAAGTATTCAGCATTATTTTTTAACATTTACCTCTAACGTTATCCCCCGATATTCAGTCTCTGTTCCTAGGGGCCACATGATCTATTTATTTCCTTAGGTCTAAGAATGCACCAGAGCAAAACTTTTTGCAAAATCCCTTTATTCATTTAGTAGAAGTGTTTTAAAGATTTCTTTTTATTTCCCTAATTGGGCCCTGTCCTTCTACCTCTAGGAGGTGGGAAGATGGGGTTCCCTTGGCCCAACATTGCCCCAATTGAAATTAGTTAAAATCAGTTAAGCAGTGAAGAAAAAGAAAACATTAACAGACAGGCACACAGGTTTGCCCCATTTTACCATAAAGTGGGCTGAGTTCATAAACTTAAACAAATGTGATGGGCCTTTATCCTGAAAGTATGCTACAGGTAAAAATTTAACCCCTATGACCTTAAAGGCAGGTTAAGGTCACTTATATCTAAACAACTGTGATAGCACTTCTCTAGCACTTCTCTTCAGCATGCTACTAGCCAAAGTCATGAAGACTAATAGAGTCGTCCCCTACCTTGAGGGTGTGACAGAGATATCTCCAGCCCGAGGGGGGATGTTTTTTGGTTGTCTTACACAAGGCTCTGCCGAGGTTTAGACAACCAAACAAATCACCCCGAGGGGATGATTATTTTTCTCCCATCCTATTATTTCAGTCACAGCTCCACCGACAGTAGTCTGCCATGTTTGTAAACAAAAACACATGTGGGGTATGCATATCGTCATTCACTTTTGATGACGTCACAATTACCGATGATGCATTTTAATGACGTCACAATTTAACACGTGCTAATCGGCACGAGACTATCTCCCCCTAGGGGGTGAGAAGCTGATCTTTCCTGGCTAAAACGGGAGACACGCCTCTGAAGGGTGGGAGAAAAATGGATGAAGGTCACTAATCCCTAGTTGATCGTACCATTTCAGCTGATTTCTATATAAAACTGAACGTAGCTTTCCTTCTGTAGGCTGCATTAATCAATAAACTGTGTGATTTACTTAAATCTTCGAAACAAATAGAAGTAAATCACATGTAATAATTACTGGGTATCGGAAGTTCTCAAAATCACCGACTATTTCTAAGCTGGGATACGTTTAGAGCAATTACAACTTACCTGAGGTACATAAATGGATGAGAGTTCTTTGGCAGATAAGCCTGGTAAACAGTGTCCAGCGACTTCCGCAGGGTGCTGGAATCCACCAACCGATCTGTGTTAAGATTTTCAATGCACCACTTTACCATTAATTATTTCAATCTTTGAACTATCTCCATGACTTCTCTATTATAAACTAAAACATAACAGACATAAGCTAACTACCACAACAAGAGATCCAGAGGGCTTGTACTGGTCAACTGGATATATTTGAACATATTTGTAAATATTTTCCCATTTAGGTCTCGGCTCTGAGCACCCCCCTCCCCCCCTATTTTTATACATTTTATACAATTTTCAATCCCAACCACCTCAGAATGATTGCAATTAAATTTGGTAATATTCCAATCATCAGTTCTTCTGAAGCAGAGGTTGTTTGATAACCACAGATAATAATTTGTCAACCGCTTTGAGACGACCTATGAACTAGGTTGTGATAAAGCGGTATACAAGATTCTCGAATTATCATTATAATTATTATCATAAGATTATTGCAGGGTGGACAGATGGACAGAAGACAGATGGACAGATGACAGATGACATGGTACAGCGTAAGCTTACCTGGGTATTTCATGGTCCTAATGGGGCCAGGTCAGCTATCATACAGTATAAAGCAACATATGTCTTATTTCAACTATTAGTTCCAAATTCTAATGAAGAGGTGACTAGAACTTACGGTTGATGAAGAGGTGACTAGAACTTACGGTTGATGAAGAGGTGACTAGAACTTACGGTTGATGAAGAGGTGACTAGAACTTATGGATGATGAAGAGGTGACTAGAACTTACGGTTGATGAAGAGGTGTCTAGAACTTACGGTTGATGAAGAGGTGACTAGAACTTATGGATGATGAAGAGGTGACTAGAACTTACGGTTGATGAAGAGGTGTCTAGAACTTACGGTTGATGAAGAGGTGACTAGAACTTATGGATGATGAAGAGGTGACTAGAACTTACGGTTGATGAAGAGGTGTCTAGAACTTACGGTTGATGAAGAGGTACATGTAGCTAGAACTTACGGTTGATGAACAGAAGCATTGTACACTTCTTCATGGAATAATTGGCGTTTGTCACAAATCCATGGACTTTAAACGACAGCCTGCTATCTTCATGGTCAATTTCTACCAGTTCTCTGAAACAAAAGCAATAGTTGACCATCAGCATGAGGTCCGCTATTTAACAAGAGGCCCCAGGGGCCTGCATTTACTGTTTAATAAAGATATGAGAGAGTATTGCTATCAAACCTCTATTTCTGCCTCGAGATGTACACCTCATGACTTCATTATGACTACCACAGGAAATGGTTGTATTGCCAGTACATATGTAGTGGCTTACAAATAAAACTTGACATAAAACTTAAAACGCTTGACGAAGTTTATTTATAAAGGTAGATAATTGAAAAAAAAGGTTTTACTCAAAGTGCTGGCTTCAAGGATAATCCCACTCCAAATGGAGTTTGAAGCCCATTCATGAAGCAGTGCCCGGGATAGGCTATGGAAAATAGTATTTACACCATATTTTAGTACTTGAGGTCAAGGTCAAAGGTCAAATTGAGGTCATAGTTACCTCATTTAAGGATACCACACACCACCTGCCGATAATGTACCATTGTACAAAGTTTGATATGCTAATTCAAGAAACAGTGACCAAGATATGCTCTGGAAATCATTGTTTTAGTACTTGAGGTCAAGGTCAAACGTCATCCAAACTTGGTTGAATTCTGTTAAGTAATTTGGGAGGAAATGTCATTAATTGAAAAGTTGGCAGATGACAGACTAGGGACGGATAACAGACTAGGGACGGGGGACGGATGACAGATGAGGGACGGATGACAGACTAGGGACGGATGACAGATAAAGCAACACCACTTAACTCACTCTGGTACTTTGCACTTGCACCTGGTGACCCAAAAAGTATTTTGTACAACGTTTCTTCAATGACAGCCCCTACTTTGAAACAAATCTATTGTCATTCTTTAACAAATTTCTATAAATAAGGTGACCTTGACATTGAACATGAAGCCCTTAATTATAAATTCATTACAGCTGTCCTCATACCGGACCTATGCATACATTTTAATCTAAATCTGTTAAAATTTTCTACATTTTTTTTGCTTAATACAGGGGGCCCTACATTATTGTTTACACAACATATGGCAGAGAACTTAAAATGAGAAAATAGCTATTCTTAGACACTTCGCTGGAGGCGTCTTGTTTACGTCTCTGGTTCGTGATGATACATCAATAGATGTCATAGTCTATTAACAGGTAATTTTTGAAAAATTGATATTTATGTATTTTGAAGAGGTTTCTTATCAAACCCGGGGGTGATTACTTGGAGGCACTGCTATCTCACCGCTTTCATCATTTTCCTATATTTGATTAGATTCGTGCCTACACCGATTCCTGATGGTTTGATTTCTAGGAAATTTGTGTGTAGCAAAACGCGGTCAGTTAGTAAGCAAAATTTGAAAATCCCTTGGCTGGAATTTCCCTATCCTACACCCCTGGGTATGTAAGAGGCATACATTCTTCTTCTGAAATTAAAACAGCCATATGTACACCTGCATTTTTAAGTTATTGTACAAAGCCTGGCTATTGATTAAATCATAGTCGTCACAAACTCCTGGAAAGGACATACTAAAACAACATAAGCCAGTTATCTATCAAGATCTTTTAGGCACACATTAGCTACATAACATTGGGGATTAAAAAAAAATACATGTTTGCACAGCTTTATTAAAGTGCAATATTTAAAGAAGGGCCAGGTGAGCTAAAAGTTGCGAGGCCTATTTTGAGCATTTGTTACACGAAAACAAACTACAAACACGTCAGTATGACGCTGTCTCCAATAATAGGGCGTGAGCTGGTGTATCCTAAGTCATGCCTTTCTACTTTGGCTATACTGTTTTCTAGTTCTGAAAATGCCTTTGGCAAGCTACCAGGCAATACCAATGAAGTCAGTCGATTATTAGTGCTTTTAGTTACGTCTTGTTAGTGTTTATTGATCTAATGTGTAAACATTTTGTAAATGTAATAGACACTGGTGACAATTTTAAGATGGCAGAACATTGATTTATGATGTGCTCCTTTATTCTCCTTCTTTTTCTTTCAGTAAGAGACGAATCTCCAAAGATGGAGCAATTACTGTCTCTGGTTTTCCAAGTATCCTTCACACACAATAATATTAAAATCACTTCACACATCCTGAATAAGCAGACAACTATACCATATATCAATATCAATATCATCACCATAAACCTATGGGTAATTCAGGATGTGTCAACTGTATACAGGCCATTAATATCATCACCATAAACCTATGGGTAGTTCAGGACGTGTCATCTGTATACAGGCCATCAATATCATCACCATAAACCTATGGGTAGTTCAGGACGTGTTTGATTTAAACATATTTTATTGCAGAAATTTGCAAATGGATTAGGCACAAGTTATTTCAACTTATGAAGCCTTCTCTCAGATATTTTATACAGTGTACATGGCAACATCAGTAGATTTTACACAAATCGATAATGAAAATAACGAAGGAGAGAGAGAGAGAGAGAGAAATTAGACCATACCACTCTCTTCAATAAACTTCTGTACTGATTTGAATACATGGATGTTTTCCCCACGCGAAAAATCTGAACTGCCATTTACTAGTAAGTCTAAGTTTATAATACCATATACAGATAATGTAAGTAATAACAATCACCTTTCTCTTTCATATATAGATTACACTCAAAAAAATAATGAAATGAATTTTCTTGTTGACTTCCACACGTACAAGACGGACTTTCTATAATGTTTACCATATACAGATCATATCTTAAAGAACTACAGGCATGTCTTAATCTTGTATGTAAAATATTAAGTTTTCTATTTCCGTATTCAAAGTAGACTGGCAGTATGTTCAAATTCAAACGATGGAGTTAGATTATTGTGCATTTTGTAGAATAATATTAATTTCTTGCGTTCCCTTCTTATTGATAAAGGTTCTAAATTGGTTTCTAAATAGTGTTTCTATTCTGGCAAATGATGGTAAACCTGTTATGACCCTAGGCCTATAGCTGCTTCCAACTGTACCTTTTTCTAGATGGTTAGCATCTGCAAGTGATGAGCAGCCATCCCAAACTTCACTGGCATACTCTAGTACAGGTAAAATAAATAATTTATATAATTTCAAAAGAGTTTTCCTGTTTAAAAGATATTTTAGTTTTCTTAGTACAGATACTTTTTTCATGCAAGAATTGTATATTTCATATATGTGTGGCTAAGACCATTTTGCATCTGCACTAAAAGTAACTCCTAAATGTCTGTTTTTGTGTGAATGTCAATAGGGAGTTTCCAAATTGTAAGCTAATATCTGGAATATTTCTAGAGTTTGTTATTAGCAGAACTTGTGTATTTGTCATCAGCGAATAGCCTAGATATACTAAGTATATTATCAGCAATATCATTGACATATATTAAAAACAACAAGGGGCCCAATACGCTACCTTGAGGGACACCAGCTCTTAAATTTCCTGTAGTAGAATAGTTCTTATCAAGAAGTACTTTTTGTTGTCTATTTGTTATATAACTTGTTATCCATTCTAGTAATTTCCCCTTAATCCCATATGCTTTCAGCTTTACTCTAAGTCCCTTGTGCCATACTCTATCAAATGCCTTTGAAATGTCACAAAAAAATTAAACATGCATGCTTTTTCTCTTCAAGTGAATGGCAGATAGTATGACATATTTCGATGAGTTGATGAACTGTGGAATGATTTGGCATAAAACCTGATTGGAAAGTGTAAAAAAGTGAGTTATCTATAAAGTAGTTATGGACATATTTAAAAACAACTCTCTCAAATATTTTAATGACACATGATAATAGCGATATTGGTCTATAGTTTGACACTAAATGTCGATCACCTTTTTTGAAAAATGGTAAAACAATAGCTTGTTTCCAGTATTCTGGAAAAATTGATGTGCTCAATGACATGTTAAATAATAAAGTTAAAGGCCTGGCAATGGAAATGGCAGTATTTTACAGTAGAGTATGACTTAATTTGTCGTGCCAGGACGCTTTTCCTAGCTTAAGAGTTTTTAATATATCACTAACATTTTCATTTGTGATGATAATTGATTCCAGTCCAGCTGCGGTTCTGGATTCAAATATTGGCATATGTGTTTCAGTATCATCTATATCTGATATTGAACAAAAATATTTGTTAAGAATATCTGCTTTTTCAATATTGTCAGCAGCAGTCTGTAGATTAGTAGGGTTTATCAATGGAGGAAAAGTCTGTGATTGGCCAGATTGTTTAATTAAACGTCGCATGAGTCTCCAATATGACTTTAGATCTGTATTATTATAAGTGTCAAATATATCATTAACATTTTCATAGAATGTTTCCCTTGCATATTTTTTCATGTTATTAACTTTATTTCTTTGACGTTTTAGTTCTGCTAATACATCAGGGTTTTTATACTTCTTAAATCTTTTATGAAATTTATCTCTAATTCTTATTTCCCTGCGTAATTCTGATGACATCCATGGCTTGTCATTTGATCTCATGGTCACAAGTTTGGTTGGAATGCTTTTGACATTGATAATAACGTAGTTGTAAATTGTTCACATGCATTATTAATCGCGGTAGAGTTATGAAATAAATTTTCCGAATCATAGTTATTGATTCTCAAATTAAGTTCATCATAGTTTGCATGTTTATAAAGCCATATTTCTCGTTTAAATGATTTTGGGTTTGTATAAGAGCTTTCAATAACTACTGCATATGTATTATGATCACTTATACTTCTATCAACGTTTATTACAAAGGAATCAATACATTTAACATTCTCACTTATAATGATAGGGTCGAGTAGACTATTTCTAGTGGTTCCAAACCGTGTGGGTTCTGTTATGACATTTGTCAGGTCATATTCCATCATAATCTGGTGCAATACATGTTGATCTGGTAGTAATAGCATATCTACATTTATATCTCCTACTATTATCACATGCGGTGTAAATTCGAGTGCTTTCTCTATAGAATATTTTAAATTGTTCCAAAATGGACGGATAGCACCTTCCGTTCTATATAATGTACATAAAAGTAATTTTCGTCCCGGTAAATCTACCTG